TTTATTAATAAATAAATGTATTTTGAGGATTCAACATCTTTATGTTAGCACTATGAAGTAAAACGATGACCCCATCACTATATTAATTTTATTTAGACAATATCCTTTATTAGATTCTAAATGTATTGACATATTTTCTGTGTAGCATATTTATATGAGATATATTGATATTGTGAGGCATATGTCTTAATAATATGGCATATAATACATTTTTCTTCTTAAGTATCTTTGACCACATAACTCATAAATGGGCCACTAGCCACAATGCATTTGAAGGGGAGAAAAGTTCTTTAAATCATGGAGGAAGACATTTTCTGTTAAAAATCCTGATATAATGCATCATTTCTTTCAAAACAGAGTTGACTTTATCTCATGCAGTTATGTGACCCTTCAAGAAACAAATTTTAAGTAATGGAAAAAYGTGATAACTCAACTTTCAGAGAAACTAAAGTTTATTTAAAACTTTATAACTGATGCCTATGCCTACTTACATAGCTCAAACTNTTTCTATTTTTAAATAAAAATAGGCAATTTTGGACTTTTGACCTTTGTTACTAGAAAGTAGGATAGTGTATTCATTTGGGTATATATAGTTAAAATGAAAATGAATAGAGAGAAATAAAAATGAATTAGTATGGGTATAGCACTTCCTAATGATGCATGAATATCTATAATGATATAAGATGGTAAAGAATGTTACCAAAAGCAAAAGGTTAACCAGGATTTGTACATATCATAATTCAGGAGGATATAATTATTCAAGGAAGAACTAGTGAAATTCAAATGAAAAGGCTTAATCTCAATATGAGTGCATGGGTTTTGCATAAAGAAGAAAAACTGAACATGATACTTCCAATTACACTGATTTGTAATAACTTTCTAAAATTTTTATTAAACCAAACTGGAAATTATTCAGTGGATATAGTTTATTCATTATAAACATGCATAACTGTGTCAAAAAGAATGATATACTTTTGTTAGGGGTGTAAAGGGATTGAGCCCACAGGCACTTAACCACTGAGCCATATCCCCACCCCTTTTTAAATTTTTTATTTGGAGACAGGTTCTCACTAGGCTGCTTACAGTCTCGCTAAATTGCTAAGGCTGGATTGGAACCTGTGATACTCCTGCATGTACCACTGTGCCCAGCAAAATATACTTTAGAGGAATAAATAGTAAACTAGATCTCCAAATGTCTGACTCTCTTGATTTAATTTTTGGCAATTTCTTGTATATGAAAATTATGATATGTTCCTATATATTAAAATTATCATATGTATTAGAATATTATAATAAATTAGAATATTATAAAAATTGAAATTTTATAAAACATTTTTCTTGAAACTGAGTTGATAGTTTCATAGTAGTATCAGAGTTATTTTGAATATATCTATTTCTCCCCAAATTTCACATAATCCTACTTTAGTTTTCTCTATTTGGTTGATCTGTACTACTTAACGTGTTATCTATGATCGCTGGATGCTATATATCAAGATAGTAGAACAGAAAAATCCTCCCATAAATAAGTATTCATTAAATATATGGAATGCATATTTGCTATTCTGGGTTTATTTTATAAAATATAGCTGAATCTGTGACCAAAGGTAATTTTAATAAGAGACATTTTAGGAATTAAAGGCATACTAATATATTTTTGGTAAGAGGAAAAAGATTATTTAATTAGCAGTAGTTTAGGACAGCAAAAATTGTAATGGTTTTCTCAATCAGATCTTTTCTAAAGTAAAAGATTCCACCTTTCCTTTTCTTTGGTCTTATCAATTGTAAAGGTTTAAATATTTCTAAATGTTCCAGAAAAACTCTTCATGCTGTATCTGAGCATAGGATGGACAGGATGTGGCATGATTAGTCCATTTATTTTCACGAAGGGACACCAATTGCTCCAAGACCTATCTCTGATGATCTTGAAAATGATCTCAATATGCATATTAATAGAGCTTTCTATAAAATGACCAATGTTTCTTTGAAGGGTATCATAATAAGGTTAATAAAGGCTTCAGTTTTAAAGAATATTTTTAAAATAACAAAACTTGTTTCTAGAACCAGATGTAAAATTTCAATTATTTGAAAATTTGGGGATTTGAATAGATGCCTTATGATGTGACCCTAAAAGAGTATTCCATTGAGACAGAGGTGAAAATGCTTTTTATTTTGATGTGTTTTTCAATGTTTATTATGAAGGGGAAAAAGTACATTAATTCGTAGGCAATAAAAAAAAATCTATGTCAGACACATGTGATCAAGTAGAGAAAAGCTTAACAAATGAGAAGCCAGAGGACAGTGTGCTGCAGATATTCTCAGAGCCCTAGTTTGGAACTGCAGCTGACCTTAGATATTTTTTGCTGAGACTCAGCATTCCAGTCTTCAGAGCTGTGTGGTTAACACTAATTATTAAAGTAAAACTCATTTAAAGTTCCTCTGTGCAAATTAAAATATAATTAATTACAAATGCCAAAGAAGTAGAAATTTGGGTTTTAAATCTTTTTTTCAGAAAGTGAATCTAAGTTAGTAGTCATATGTGAGTTTTAGTGTCTCCTTTCTTTATTGTATTTAGCTTCTCACTTCCTTGCAATCTATAATTCATAATTACTATGTTTATAAGGCACCAATATGCATCTAAATAGCTGAGATTATGCCACATCTTGGTACTGAACATTAAGAAAACTGCATATCAATAAAAAACAGAAAAAAAGATATGAAGAACTGTCAATTATTTTTCTTTTAAGAAAAAATCATGAGAATAAACTTCAAAACCTTTTGGAATTCACACATTTTTTAATGAGACTCAGAAGTTCTTTAAATATTTTGAAGTTCTGTCTAATTCACAAACAACATCTTGGTTAATACAACAAAATAATTATTAAAAGAAAAAATGTAATCTGTCCTCCACCCAACTCTGTCCCTAATAAAACTGTTTTCTAAAAGTAGGAATAAAATGCATTACATTACAAACAAATGTAATTGCATCATTATATAAAATGTTATAAGAATTATGCTTGTTATTGACGATGTAGGTTTTTATCTCAGGGGTTAAAGCAACTTATACAATTAAAATCACAAATCTATTAGCTTGGAGATTTTGTTAAGAACAACATAGTCATCTGACTGATGGAATGCATGTGAGTTACAATAACTTTGTTTGACTTGCTCTACTGACTCTAATACTTAAACTCCATAAGTCGGTGGATATTTTACACTCAAATACCCCCTGAATTTATATATAATATATATGTATATATATGTGTATATATGTATGTATACATATATATGTATATATATGTTGTACATACATGCATATATATACATATATGTCTATATACACAGATATGTATGTATACATATATACATATACATAGATATATGTATACATACCAATACATATACATATACACATAGACCCCCTGAATTTTATATACACATATATATGTAGTATGCATATGTATATGTGTATATACATGTATGCACATATATAACATCTACACATGTGATATATATATGTATGTACATATAAAAAATTCAGGGGGCTATGTGTATAAGTATAAATCTATTTTTTAATTGTTGAAATGTTTGGTTTGTAATGGAGAATTTGAGAATTTGGATTTTGAAATCTATGCTGAAATGTTGAATTGTCTTCATCAAACTTTATCTCAAGTTTCTAATATCACTCAAAAAGCAAATTAGAAATGTATATATATTTCCATTGATCATGCAGAAACATGTGTCATGGATTTGATTATGATGTATACAATAAATCAATTTTGTAAAATGTATGACTATGTCACTTAAAGTTTAATCTGTGCAATTCTGTGAATTTTCTACATCATAATTAGATGAGACATCTAAATTATCATGTAAGTATTGAGTATAAAGAAACCTGGGCCAGATAAATTAAAAGAAAATAAATTGATCAGCCTATAATTTTGACTCATGTTTGTGTAGGAGTCAGTCTGGGATCAAAAAGTCCATTTTATTATAATTATTGCAAAAATGAATATGGTATTGTTGAAAAAGTCTGTGTAGTAATAAATGGCTGTGTTAGCATGCTTATTGTCCAGCTTTCCCCAGAGACCCTGCCACTTAAATCCTCAGCTGACCCTATCAACAGACAGGTGGCATTTGATCAATTCAAAACAAAGTTACTGGGAGAATAATTTCAATTACAAAAAATGTTGCTGCCTATACTGTAGACAGAAGGGGGCAGAGGTCATCCATCTTTATAAATTTGCGTGCCAAATGGTATTTATTTCTTGCTCTTAAAAAGAATAGGAAAAGAGACACCACTTGCAAACCCTCAAAAAACTGCAAATTCTGATCACTCCTAGCACTTGGATGCCAGTGAGGAAAGTGAAGATACAGAAAGAATTCTCTCTTAGATCTCAGGACACTCTGGAGTTCTTATTAAGATTTGAATTCCAGAGTCACCCTACTCATTTAGCATCTTAATTAGCTTAATTTAATAAGAAACTAACATTAATGAGTAGGGTTAAAAATCTGGGATTTGGGGTAGGGTTGGGCTGAATAGAAAATTACATACTAACTAAAACCACTTTATGACTCCTGTACATAAATCAAGAATAGGGAGGAATAAGGATAGAAAGTGTTCCTTTGTTATAAGTAAAACAAATGCAGAAACCTCACCCCACCCCACACCTAGATTTCCAGTAAGCTTAGAATTAAAAGGTAGCTGTAAACATTATTTTTTTAGGGTAAAACTATTCTCCTCTCAGCCTTATGACTGTTGGTCTTTCATCTTATATTCATGGTGCTAGTGTGTATGTATCTCTTATTATAAAGTGCTTCTAACATTTTTTTGAAGAGGGTATATAAACAATAAAACTATTTTACTAGAGTTATCATAATGAGTTTCTTTGTAATCCATTTTCAACCTTCTGTCAGCTATACACTGGAGTCTATAACAACTCAATGAATGACTTTTTATTATAAGAAGCTAAAAATATTATTCTTTTGTATATCTATACCAGCACACTCTCCGTGAAGAAACAATGGTGGTGATGACTGAAGACATGCCTTTGGAAATTTCTTATGTGCCTTCTACTTATCTGACTGAGATCACTCATGTCTCACAAGCCCTATCAGAAGTGGAACAACTTCTCAATGCGCCTGACCTCTGTGCTAAAGATTTTGAAGATCTTTTTAAACAAGAGGAGTCTTTGAAGGTAAAACAAAGCTCTTTCATTTAGATTTTACAAGATGATCACATCGGTCATTTATATTACCAGAATAATTGGCTTAAATTGTATACACAATGAAGGTATTTTTATTTACTCATGGAATGCTTGTTTTTTAATGTTTTTTTATTCCTGCATTATAGTTATATATAATAGTTGGGTTTATTTTGACATAATTATAAATTTTTATAACAATTCTAAAAATATAGAATTGGTAGCTTGAGTAATAAGGTATAGAAATTGAAACATAAATTAGAAATGATCTTTTATAATATTTAGGGTCAAGATGCTTTCCAAAACAAAGTTTTTGGAGGTACCCAGGGCAGAAAGTGTTCACAAAAAGCAAGCTTTGATAGAGAAACATTTCATTTCTAACCAATACTTTAGTTTGTTTTCCCCAAAAAGGCAAATTAGATGAGATTTAAAGTTGTATGTTATGTGTTGTTTTCATTTTTAAAATTTCCACTTATAATATAGATATTTTATTATAGATAAATGTCAACACATATGCTATAATATAGGAAATGTAAATAGAAATCAATTAACTATTTTAAAACTACCAGCCAAAGGCTACTACCCAAATACAGCTTTTTTTCTTTCAAACTAATAACAGCATGTTACTGAATTCTGAACCAAGACAAATAATGGTGAGGGAATATGCAATGAATTTTAGAAGGCAGTGTCTGAAGATAAATTAAATGTAGTATGAAGAAAATGTACATAATAATGTGTGTCTTCAAGATAATTTTTGTGATCATACATTTCACACTCAAAATGAAATATTATAGCATAACCAGAGCTTGGTATTTTTTAGTGCAAACAGCATAAGAATATAGACAGAAGATGAGTTTGCTATCATCAGTACATATTTGTGAAAGCATTTTTACTCTAAATGATTTCTTAGGAGCTCATTCCATGTCACACATTTGTCTGCCTAAGTACACAAATAGATAATGCTGTTTGTTTTGGAAATTGGTGTTTCAATATCTCGAATGAATTGATTTTAATATCTTATATCAAATAAGCTATAAAATTACAGAATAAAAATAAGAGCTATATGTATCTCTGGAACTAGTCCTTTCATTTCAATGTTGTGCTGTTTCTTATTCTTTTTGAAGTAAAAGTGAAATCACTTATGGATTCAGTGAAGAAAAGAAATCCAGTCAATTGATAAAGGAGTAATGCCATCATACCTGTCATTACCCACACTAACTAAATTTTTATATCAACACAGTTTCTAAATGCATCATTGTCATTTGATATGTGAATCACTGCTAATCAGCTAATATTCATTCCTTTTCGTGTTTTGTTGACATGATGGTCAGGAGACTAGTGACCCTGCATTATAGTTATATATAATATAACTATATTTAGTTACACACTAAATATCATTGTGTCCGTGCATCTTAACCTGGCACACATCGAATGACAGGTCCATGGCTAAACTCATAGTTAGCAATTTGTTCATACTGATAAATTTAATATTAGTATAGTTGACACCAAATGTAATAGTATTGATTACTGTGTTTGTAAGGAGCTATTACTGCAAGTTGAATTTAGCTAGGTTATTGAATCCTCATGAGATGCAGTTGTGGGTATAATTCCATCTCTCTCTCCACAAAATTTCTGCAGCAGGAAAATGGGCTTACTACCTTCATGGACTTTTTGAAGGGGAATAGTTTTGAGTTCAGTTATTTCAATGAATATGTATTTCCTCTTAAAGGCATTCATCACTGTCATTATACAGTAGTAAAAATAGAAAAGTAGTGCATACATTGTACAGCTACTGGTTGGGAACTTTCAAAATTAGATTACAGTTAATTTTATTTTTGACAGAAGTGCATGGATCAAATCACACAACTATAGTAGGTAATGCTGTGGTGTAATATACATGTTCAGTGAAGGTACAGTGCAACAAAAATATTGTGTAATAAGTTAAAATAATTATTTTCTGAACAAAACATAGCTAAATTAGTACCCCACTAGATATATTAAACATAAAAGTTATCTAATCATTTGGACAGAGATTATATAGATGCCTACCTATATCTGAAAATCTTCATTAACAGCTAATACACTAGCTAAGGTATAACTAAAGATGAGTGAGAAACAATACACATAAGTAATATTTATTCTTATTTCAGAGCCAATATTAGCATTGCTAATCAATTGTGATTCTTATATGTAAGAAGTTAATAGTATTCATAACATAGACAATGTCACCATAATTTAGAAACAATTAAAACCTTTGAAAGTTTTAGATTCTATTAGGAATAACTTGTACTTTGTATTTTAAGAAAAACATTGTCTTAATAAAATTTACCAAAATAAAATTTCTAGGTTAAATCACCAAATCTTGTTTTGAAATATTTCATATAAAGCATGAACATAGAAATGTTTGCATTACAGCTTTAACTTACCAAAAGTTTTGCAACAAAGGCTTTTAATAATCAAAATCTCATCATGAAAGTAGAAATTATCCATTTAGGAGTTCAAAACAAAATAATTTATCCTAATGTCTCTGTATAACTGATTTTACTGTAAGTTACCATTTCATTGGTATATGATACAACACACTCTTGGGACCTCAGCCATACCTTTTCCTCACTCACCTTTCCCTGAACTCTGACTCTTTGCCTTCATTTTCTTTCTAGTCATCAAAGCCTAGATGTTTCTAGGAGTTAAATCTTAGCATGTTCACAATTTCCAGCAAATCTCTAGCCATAAGTGATGGCTTTGATGAATAAGCACCCTTCAGTTGGGTTAACCCAACATTCAGAATCAGAACAGAGATCCCATTTCACTTAGCAGAAATCTGCCTCATATTATGTTCTTTACTCCGTCTCTTAACCAACTCCCTTGTCACTGTTTCCTAGGATCATTTCCAAAATGAATTAATTGCATGCATATTCTTGTCTTAGGGTCAGCTTGTAGGAGAACTTTTACTAGGGCAATTATAAAAAATAGTAATAATAAAGGCATATACCCTGTGGAATAAACACTTGTCAATAGAAATCCTTGGAAATCCTTTATGCCACTAGTGTAGAATTCCCCAAATATGAACCTAGCTTATAAGGATGAGAAGTAGGCTTTATTTTTTTTCTATAATGAGAATCAACCTAGGTTCTCAAGTTTTAATAACTTACCTCTATTTACTTGCTTAATTCTGCCCAGAAATCTATGACATATTGAAGCAAATATAACCATTTTATACATGAAAAAGTAAATAAATATAAAGTAAGCAGGCAAAGTTGACCTCACTAGTATTAGTGAAGCCAGGACTTTAACGCAAGCAAAACAACCCCCAAATCTCTGCTCTTAGCTACCTTTCATGTAGTTATTTCTAGGGTGTTATGTTGAGCATAGTGAAGGCAAATGTGGATAAAATAAGGTAGAATATTAAGTCTGTAATGCCCAATTCAAAGGAAAATATCCTAGAATCTAGTTCTAGATGATTTGATGTCAACTTAGAAAGATTCCATAAAAGAAAGGAAGAAGGGGAGAAGGAAAGGTATAAGAAAATAAAGAAAAACAAGTAAATAAAGGGAAATAAAGAAGCCATTCATGCATCATTTCAATTGGCTTATTTAAATTGATGATAGTATAGATGCTGTATTGTGGATAAAATACGCTGTATTTTTGGTAGACAGGTGTGTTAGCCAGATCTTCATTGCTGTGTTTAAAATATCTGAAATAATCAACTTAAAAGAGGAAAGCTTTAATTTGGCTCATTGTTTCACAAGTTTCAGTACATGTTCAACCAGAAGCATTGCTTTGAGCTTGAGGTGAGGAGAATATCATAGTGCAGGGCATGGCAGAGGAAAGCTTCTCAGCTTAAGCTAGCTGGAAAGGAGAGGGTATGGGAAGGCAGACAGATAACAGAGAAACAGAAAGAGAGAAAGAAAAGGAACAGGGACAAGTGAACCTACTTGCTCCAATCATGCTTCACCTGCCTAAAGTTTTTACTGCCTCCAAGAAGTCCATTCAGCTATCATTAATCTGCTTATAAGGTCAGAGGGCTCATGATCTAATCAATTCTGCAAAGCACCACCTCTGAACATTGCTTTATTAGAGACCAAGCCTTCAACACATAAGACTTTGGGGGACATTTTAAATCTACACCATGCTATCAAGAGTGTGACAAGAATAATGAACATATGAAGAAAGCTCACAGGTGACAGCAGAAGATTTGTTCCTAATATATACTTCAAGTAGGATCAAGAAATAAAGGCAGCCCTTGTTCAACCAAAACTGCACAAGGAAGAACTGGTAGTAAACTCAAAAAACAAAGGTGTTCAAGTTTTATGGATGGCTATTGAGACTTATAATGAGTTGATAGGATAAGTAGTAATATAAGGAGTGAGAATTTATCTTTTCCAAAATATTTATTAAGTTCTTGCTATGTGCCAGGCATTATTTCTATGTGCTTAAAAAATGGTGAACAAAACCAATGTATCTTTCCCTTTAGACAGTTTTTATTATAGTAGTAGGAGATAGAACATAAGGAAGTAAACAATAAATAAATAAGTAAATATTGAATATTACAAGGTAATATATATTATTTTTTTAAAAAAAAACAACGTAGAGTTCAATAAGGGAATGCAGGACCATTAATGAGTTAGGAGTAGATGGAATGGCAAGAGATGGGTTTGTACTTTTAAATAGATTATAAAGGACATTTGAGCTAAACTGGAAGAAAATAAGGGAGTCAGCCCTGCTGTCTGGGTAGAGGAAACAAAGACCCAAATGTGGGAGTGAAATGTGGGAGTGAACCCTTCTTGATCAAGGAACAGCAAGAAAGCCAATGTAGCTGGAGTAAAGCATGATATGGAGAGGGAAATAGGGGATAAGATCATAGGCTTTTTGGGAGTCCCAATTATGGATGACCTAGTGGGATATTATAAAGATTACCTTTCACTCTGAAAGAGATGGGAGCCATTGTTGGTTTTGGAACAGGTGAGTGACATGATCTGATGTATGTTTTAATA